GGAGTCAGTTCGGAGCGACGTACGAGCCCCGCGCGGCGGACGAAACCTCAACCCCACCAGGCTCGTCCAACCGCTCACAGCCACGATCAGGCGAGTACTCAGGTCCAATCTGAACCTGCTCCGACCCCACCCCGGGCTGCCTCGAGTGTGCCCAGGCCTGCTTCAAAGACACTAGTACTAGAACGCCAAGCTACTCCTAGTAACTACTATAACTATAGTAAGCCTGGACACTTTGCAAACGACTGTCCCGTTCCGCGGGTAAGAGAGATAGAAGCGGTACNAGAAGAAGATGTGTTCGAGGAAGCTGCAGAGTACCATTCGGATGAGGATTAGACGGGAAACGACGAAGCCTAGGAAAACGCTCCGCCCTAGGCATCTACAAGTATAACCTTACTAAGATTAATCTGTTACACTTATTTAGAGGAAAGCACTTCTGAGTTCCTACTGTTCTTTGCTCGAAGGGCTACGGCGTTAGCCTGCAATCGCTAGTTAACACTAGAGCCTAAGGGTTCTTATTTTTAAATTCTGCAATTGCTTGTATAATCTCTAGTTCACTTTAGGTTCTGATCCGAAGACTACCCTTTAAGATTATAGTTAAAGGATTTTAAGATTAGGTTTAAACAAGAGTTAATTAATATATCTAGTTGCACCTCTCTATTAATAGCTGTAAGGTTTATAACTGCCCGTTCGTTATTATAGATTTAGGATTATAGGATTGTATTATTGGGATTAAGTGGCTGCGCCGCTTCCAGCTTTAATTAGATACGGTTCGGAACCGGATCGTATAGCTAGCCAAGTACCTAGTAACTTATGATCCTGCCCTACCTATTCTAGTATAGTTAAAACAACTATCTATCGACACTAAGGTTGAGAAGGATATTAAGAGACGCAACGCTCTCTAGGAAAAGGACGACTATTAGAGAAGAAACAGTCCAACTACGGCTAGTATTTAAAGAATCCGTAGTCTTCTTCAACTCCTTAAAGCCCGTCCTCTACCGCCAACACCCAACCCTGTTCCAAAACCTGTCCGACCTGCACCTTCTTCTTCTCCTTCACCCCACATCTTACTTATTTCAGCCAACGCCTTCCACTACACTATGAAACGTAAGGAAAACGAGTTCTTTACGATAAGTATCTATAAGATTGACCGTATTCTAGAAGAGAGACGCCTAAAGGATGATCCTAAAAATGCCAAGCTCGTCCAGGACCGACTCCCGCCCGTCTACCATCCGTACCAAGACGTGTTCAGCAAGACCGCCGCGGATCAGCTCCCTGAACCCCGCCCGTACGACCATAAGATTGTTCTCACCAAACCTCTGCCGAACCAGTTCAGTCCCCTATATAAGCAGAGCACTAAAGAGCTTAAAGTAACTAAAGCGTTCGTTATAGATAACCTCTAGAAAGGATACTTTTCCCTAAGCTATAGTCCTTTCGCCTCCCTAGTCCTTTACGTTCGGAAGCTAAACAGAGACCTCCGTATCTATATAGATTATCGCAAGCTTAATACTATCACACGTAAGGATGTGTATCTGATTCCGCGTATTAATAAGCTGCTCGCGCGTCCTTATAAGGCCAAGATCTTCACTAAGCTTAATATACGTGCGGCTTTCAATAAGATCCAGATAGATCCTAACTCTAAGGAGTACACCACGTTCCACACTCGATATAGAACGTACAAGACTAAGGTATTGCCTTTTAGACTATGTAACAGTCTAGCGACCTATCAGCAGTACATAAACGATGTACTAATTAATTACCTAGACAACTTCTATATAGCCTACCTAGATAACATCCTTATCTACTCTAAGTTGGAGGCGGAACACATCTAACATATACGTAAGGTGCTAGAAAGACTATAATAAGCTAGACTCCAAGTTAATATTAAGAAGAGCGAATTCTATATCACTTAGACGAAATACTTAGGGTACATCCTCACC